TGACATGATTTACAGTCCTACCAGAGGTTTATAGAATCACCCTTTTCCCACACACTCACCAGCACTGAACCTTATTAGCAATAATTATTTTTATGCAATGGTGATTCTGTTCTTTCTAGTGAGAGGGATGGGTATTACATAAAACATATTTTCACAGCTGTTTGCTTTGTCCAGTTTATCTGATAAGCTAATTCATGTTATTTCTGTTTGTATGTGTTTGTGTAGAAGTGATTAACATGATATATCAGCCCATGTTTTTAAGGGTTCCAGTCTATACAACATTTTACATGCAGTATTCTCATTCACTTCTCAAAATAACCCAATGAGTTGTCAAACCCATACTATTGATAAGTAAACAGAGTCTCAGAGAGGTAGGCCACTGTCCTAGCTCACACAGCTAGCTAAGAGCCAGAACTAGCATTCAAACTCAGGTCCCCATGTCTCAGATGTCCATACTCCTAACAGTTACACAGTATTCTCAGCCTACAAGTTTCACCAGGAAGAAGGCTGCTCTAGGGGTGGAAATCAGGGATTCCTTAGTGGTGTGGTGTATGTTGACTATTTGGCCATTCTTGGCAAACACTACTGCTTATGCCTCGTCAAGGACAAAGCATTTGTTGAATGCCTCTTGAGTGCCAGAGACTGCATCAGGTAGCATGAGAAGCAATCTTATTGGTGACACAGTTGTACACTTCAGTGTTTGAGACCTTCAACTATCATCTTCCTTTCTGAAGCGCTGCCTGCACTCAACTCCAGAATTATAATCCAGGCCAGATTTTATTGCTTAGAGTTAATTAAAATTATTGAAAGGGCTTTATCTGGTCAGTCCTACTGGTCTCATCCCATTAAAATGTGTTTTACTGTGGTTGTCTTATTATTATTGTCACTGTTTGTCACTCCCCACTAATCATCATTTTTAATAATTAATAATAATGGTGGAGTAAGAATATAACAGTAGTGGTAATGTTCTTATACTAATTTCCTTTCTATTCATCTTTTGCATTTAATTAGTCCCATTTCAAGTTTTCTGACAGATGACAGAAGAAAGATTAGGGGCTAGGAAGACCTTCTTGGCAAGCCCCTCAGTATCCCCAGGCTCCAGGTAGTGGTGGAGTCTCCCTAAATCTTAATGTAATCTCCCACTCGAAGGATGAAAGCAAAGACTCTTGGCAGCCTGGCATTGCAGGAGAGTTCTCTGTTCCATCTCTGGTAAGAGCTAATGGTGAGCTGCAAAGGGAGCAAAGAAGTCTTAGAAGAAACTGAGAGGGTGACTGCCTGTTAACTGGGTGGAAACACAGACATTCTCCACGTAGACCAGTTAGCTAAGAACTGTCCTTGGTTCTGAAAACGAGAAGCTGTGTTGTCTTACCTCGAGCTGGAGCCCGGGCAGTGTGCTTGGGCTCAGGGGTGGGTTGTTCTGGGGCCACAGGCTTGCTGACGGGCTGCTGGGGTTTGGTCTTCTTTATAGGCATGGGCTGTGGGAGGACCTGTTTGGGGAAGCCCTTGAAGAACCACGCTCCAGAACGCTTCCACACCTGGGGGAGAAGTAGG